TTGCACGATTAAATGGTTCCTTTGATGGTGACATTGTTCTTCAGATTGATGGAGAATGTGTTGTATGTGGTTCTATATAGCACCAAAAAGGGTTCTTCTACTGTGTATGAGCTCGACAAGAGCAGAACCCTTTTTGGTGCCATATAGAACCATATACAACACATTCTCCATCAACCTGAAGAATGCTTTCATCATGCAGAGAACCATTTAAGCATGCAAATTGTTCTACATAGAACTATTCCCTTTACATAAGATTCCTTGAAGAACCATCTTATTTAAGAATGTAATTTCAGACACTTGATAGATTTTAAATAAAGGGATGAGTTCTACATGGAACCATTTCATGCATAAAGAGTTCTCTCAAATGGTTCTAAAGACTGATGGAGAATGTGTGGTGGGTGGTTCTATATTCCACCAAAAAGGGTTCTGCTGTTGTTACAAGTTTCACATGATAATAATAGAACACTTTTTGGTGCTATACAGAACCATTTCAAAAAAGTTTTATAGAACCATATACAGTAAATTTTCTATCAATCTGGAGAACCATTTCACCATGAAGAGAACACTTCAAAAGGTGCAAAAGGTTCTAAAAAGAACCATTCCCTTTACCAAAGAACCCTAGTTTACACAAAAAAAAGAAAGAAAGGGAATGGTTCTGTTTAGAACTATGAGTTCTACATGGAACCATTGCATACTTAAAGCGTTCTTCAGATTGATAGAGAATGTGTTGAATTTGGTTCTATAAGGCACAGAAAAGGGTTCTGTTGTTGTTACTAGCTTGACATCATAATAATAGAAGAACCAAAAAGGTTCCATATAAAGAACAACATACCATACATTCTCCATCAATCCGAAGAACGCTTTCACTATGCAGAGAACCCTTTCAGCATGGAACGGTTCTATATAGAACATTCCCTTTACTAAAGAGCCCTTGGAGAACCGTCTTTTTAGAGTCTAGTTTAGACACTTGGTATGTTTTAAATAGCTTTATATGCTATAAATTCAAATAAAAAGATAAAGTTCTAGCTTCGTTTTCTAACTTCTACATGTGACGTCTTTGTTTGACATTAATCAAAGGACTCGTGTCCTCTGTCTCAGTGAGACACGACAGGAATCGAGCTCGAGAGCTGAAAGGAAGCTGCAGTCGGTCCTTCACTGACCCCCCCTCAGAGGACAGCGACGTCGGGTCAGAACCGTATCAGTACCAGCTACGAGCTCTATATAGTGTAGTGGGTAACACCTCTGCCTTCTATGCTGCAGACTGGGGTTCAGTCCCTGTCTGGGTCAGCACCCTACACTATACCAGTAAGAGTCCTTGGGCAGGACTCATAACACTGCCTTCACCTTCAAATTGTACGTTGCTCTGGATAAGAGCGTCTGCCAAATGCCGTAAATGTAAATGTATACGCAACACAGACCTGGGTCATTCTACAGAAACGTCCACTTTTGTGTCCCTGGCATTTACAGATATATTACACTTAAAACGTCAATTTAGCAATATTGGTTTTTAAATCAATAATATAGAATTCCAAGCACCACAGAAGAGCTCGTCCTCACAGTCATGTGTGAAGGCTGAGGCCATATTTTGAGGCAAAAAACATGTTTTTCTGCCATTTTAACTGCAATAATCTATACATGACTATGAAATATATGATTTAAATGACATGAAGAAAACAAATGACAAATAAATATTATAAAATATATAATGAAAGTTGTTGTCCCAGGAGTCGAGTCACTGGTGTTATCGCGTAACAAAAATCTCTTATTTTGAAATAAAAGTTCATATAAAATAAAAGCACAAATAAAAGTCACACTGATGACATCACTCAACTTCCTTTTACCTGTTTTCTGAGGATCTATGAAGAAAAGCTCATGGTGAGTCCACTGAGTCTTTCAGTTATCAGAGATTTTCTCATTTAGCTCATGATTTCATATGAAGCTTTTAGCTGAAGTCAGTGGTGTGACCGACTTTATTTTGAGGTCATTGTGAAAATAATAGAATCCATATGGATTAAATTCCATATTTTAGTGGATATTCCATGATTGACAACATGTGGTTTGATGCTCTGTAGCAGCCATTCTGGAAAATGTATTGTTCATTAATTATGTATCTGGTGTTTCTTTATTATGTGGAACACCAATGAGGATCAGTAACACCAGTGACTCCTATGGACAGATAGAAAAGTGGACGTTTCTGTAGAATGACCCACCCACATCATACTGACCCACAGAGCGGTCAGGAGGGTCTAATCGGACTGACCACACACAGAAACTATGCCAGCGTTCTATTACTGCACTGACAGTCACCTCCGCAACAGCAGCCCACATGCTTTTAAACCCCTGTCCACAGTAACGTCGGGACAGTGATGAGGTTCCAGTGCAGATTATCACTGAAATAAGTCCCACAAACTCTAATCAGTCTGAAATTTGGCTTTTAAACCAGTTTTGCATTAACGGTCACCTCCGAAACAGCAAACCACACGCATTTAAAGCACCAAACTCACAGAAGTGTTATTGAAATAATCTATTAAAATTCTAAATAGTGTGAAAAATTCTGCTGTGAAAATCACTTTTACACTGAAATCAACCCCAAAAAAGCAAACAACACACTTTAGAAATGAAAATGAGCAAAGTTCTCCTCAATAAAGTGACAAAGTGGAAAAAACGCTTCAATAAAACAAACGATTAAACACGTTCAAACCATTTAAACACGTTCAAATCATCTCTTATCTTACAACAAGGCAAGTGACTCTTAAGGCAGCACTGAAGTGTGTTTGAGCTACAGTTACACAGGAACTCTGAAGACCTTCATGTTTTGTCATTAAATCACTTTTGCACTGAAATTCACCTCCGAAATAGAAAAAGACAAACTTTACAGATGTAAAATGATCGTAGTTCTCGTTAATAAAGTCAGTAAAGGGTCATTTTACTGAAGCGTCCACTTTTCTATCTCTCTGTCACTTTTTACTGATCCTCAATGGTGTTACACATAAGAAACGTCAAGTGATGTCATCAGTGTGACTTTTATTTCAGAAAAAGAGATTTTTTGTTACGCAGTAACACGAGTGACTCGACTCCGGGGGACTTTCATTATATATTTTATAATATTTATTTGTCATTTGTTTTCTTTATGGCATTTAATTCATATATTTCATAGTCATGTATAGATTATTGCAGTTAAAATTGCAGAAAAACATGTTTTTTACCTCAAAATCTGGCCTCAGCCTTCACACACGACTGTGAGGACGAGCTCTTCTGTGGTGCTTGTAGTTTTATATGATTGATTTAAAAACCAATATTGTTTTATTTTAAGAATATAAATAACATGTTTTTCTAGTGTGATATATCTGTAAACACTAGGGACACAAAAATGGACATTTCCATAGAATGACCCTAAAGTGGTTAAAATGCTGAGTAACTCCGACAGTGAGAGGATCTACAAAGTGGACCTGACCACAGAAAAAGCATAATAATAATAATATTTATAATAAATGATCGAATACACATCACTGAGTCAGGTAAATGAATGAAATGTCACTTGTGTCTCTGACGTCCTCACCTCACACAGAAGTGGCGCCGTGTTAAATCAGTATTTGTGGTTATTTTAGTCGGTAAAGTCGAGCGGATTAAACGATGCGCATTATTGAAAATTTTACAGTAACTCAAATTCAACATTTTGAATATATAACACAGCTGGAGGTCTGGAGTAAAAGTTTCAGTCACCATGAGTGACTTTCTCAGTTACAGTCAGATCAGCTGAGAGGTTTCAATATTTAAACAGTTACAGAAACACAAACAAACAGAAATGGGCTGAACTTTGTGGTTACATCACTTCTGCACTGATATTCACCCCCAAACAGCAGCTTGAGACAGAAAAGTGACTGAAGTTCTACTTATCAAAGACACGAAAGTGGTTAAAACACTGAGTATCCAACAGTGAGACGATCTGCAGAGACGACATATCACCAACAAACCTACAGTAACACACAAATTCTACTGTTAACAGACTTTTACACTGACATTCAGCCCCAAAACAGCAGCTTTAGACACGAAAACGGACAGATTTCTCCTTAATGTAGTCACTAAAGCAGAGACTGCAGGGTAAACGCTTCAGACTGTTTTAGCACTTTAACACTGACTGTCACGACAAATTAAACATCTGACGTTTTCTCAGAAATCTTGAAAAAACATTGAAACTAAGCTACAGGAGCGGAAAAACTCAGAAATGTCTTAAATTCTGCTGTTAATTCACTTTTGCACTGACATTCATCCCCAAAATAGCAGCTTTAGACAGGAAAACGACCAAATTTCTCCTTAATAAAGTCACTGATATATTAAAATGTGAGAAGATCCGCAGAGACTGCAGAGTAAACGCTTCAGTCTGACTGTTTTAGTACGTTTTACCCCGACGGTCACCACAAACGGAACATCTGACTCAGTTTTAAAGCCCTTTTCTCAGTAAAATCAGTTCAGCTGAGAGGTTTTAATACTGAAGCTGAGCTACAGGAGCACAAAAACTAAAAACTCTCTTAAATTTTGTTGTTAAATCACTTTTTTGCACTGAAATTAACCTCCAAAACAGCAGCTTTAGAAAAGAAAGTGATTGAAGTTCCCCTTAATAAAGACACCGATGTGGTTAAAACACTGAGTATCCGACAGTGAGAGGGTCTGCAGAGACGGCAGAGTAAAAGCTTCAGACAGTTTTAGCACTTTCTACACTGACAGTCACCGTTAATGAAACATCTGACTGACGTTTAAAGCCCTTTTCTCAGTGCAGATCAGCTCAGCTGCTAAACTGAGTTACAGTAACAGAGAAACGCTGCCTGAGTCCGAGTTTGGTTTAGTCTTCTGGAGTTTGCGGCGGCGGCGTTCACTCGGAGGAGGGTTTAACAGAGAGAGGGAGTCAGAGAGGAGTACAGAGGAGTGAAGAGGAGTAGACAGAGGAGCAGACAGAGGAGCAGACAGAGGAGTAGAGAGGAGTACGAAGGCTGTAAACTCACCACCATATGGGATAAGTGGCGAGGGAGCGCGGCAGTCCGCTCAGCAGCAGCACACACAGCACATACACCATCCTTACACTCTCTCACACACACACACACACACACACCACTCAGCCTCCACACACTGAGACTCCACACGCTCCCACCCACACGCCCACCCGCTCGCACGCCCAGCCGCCCGCCCGCCCCGCTGAGAGAGAGAGAGAGAGAGAGAGCAGGTACGGCCTCGGGGGGACATGCTAATGATCCACATCAGAGAGAGAGAGAGAGAGAGAGAGAGAGAGAGAGAGAGAGAGAGAGAGAGAGAGAGAACAGAGAGAGAGAGAGAACAGAGAAAGAGAGAGAGAGAGAGAGAGAGAAGAACAGAGAGAGAGGGAGAGAAAGAAAGAAAGAACACAGAGAGAACAGAGAAAGAAGAGAGAGAGACAGAGAGAGAGAGAAAGAACAGAGAGAGAGAGAGAACAGAGAAAGAAGTAAGAGAGAGACAGAGTGAGAGAGAGGACAGAGAGAGAGAGAGGAGAGAGAGAGAGGAGGAGAGAGAGAGAGAGAGAACAGAGACAGAGAGAGAGACAGAGAGAGAACAGAAAGAGAGAGAGAGAGAGAGAGAACAGAGGACACTTGACGCTCTTCCTTTTAAAACTTTTTTGTTCAATTTTTGAAATGTTTTTTTTCTTCTTTTTTCATTTGTTTTCAAACTTTCCTTTAAACATTTTCCAATGTTTATTCTGTAAACACTTCCAGCTGATGATGTTCTCTTTTGATATGTTTTATTTCGTCTTCAATAAAATTTTGTTTTTCGATTTTTGAATTTATTTCCATTTTTTGTTTCAGTTGTTTCTTGTAATGAAGAACTTTTCAGTTTTAAAATTTTTTTTTGATTTTTTCCAATTATTTTGGTTTAATGGTCATTTCTTATTTCTTAGCTATTTATTCATATTTATTTCCATTTTTAATCATCATTTTTCACTGTTTTTTCCTGTATTTTTCACTGAAGCAGATTATCTAGTCCTGGACAGTCTCAATGGGGCACATTTAAAGTATTATATGATAAATATTAAAGTGTTTATTAGACGTGTTAGCGCTGCCTCTGTACTGCCGTAATAATTAACCCTTAAACTCCCAGATTTATTGATCCTCAGCCTTATTATTAAAGTCCAGTCCACTCTGACGGAGCTCTGTCTGAGGTGTAGCCATCTGGACCTGCTGGCCGTGTAAGCAATTCACTGCTATGCTCTAATAAAGAGGGCTGACCTTCAGAGGGTCCATTTCAGTGTAACTCCAGTGGCGCAGTGGACACTGTGAGTCATCAGTGAAGCAGGTCTGACCTCGGCTCAGTCCGGATGTGTATTGTGGGGTCAGCGTGAGGAGCAGCAGGTGAAAGGATGAGGAAACACTCTCGCCCTGACCACTCGCTCCCATTCAGATTCGGAGAGGGTTCTCAGATAAAGATCTGTCTGGAGGAACCGGCGCTTCAGCCTGACTCCACTCAGGCCTGCAGCCCTCTGGACTCCACACTGTCCCTTCAACCTGATTCAGAGGGAGTGGGCAGCGGTCAGCACAGAACCACTCAGTAGGTTTAGATCAGGGGTGCCCAAACTTTTGCTTTAAGGGACCAAAGTGCAGTGTGCTCTTCAAAAAGATAGTTCTTCAAAGGTTCTTTAGTAAACACAATGGTTCTATATAGAACCGTGAACACTCAAAGAACCATTTGCATGCTTAAAATGTGTCGCATGTGGTTCTACAGAGCATCAAGAAGGGTTCCTCTACTGTTATGATGTCAAGCTTGAAAACATATATATCACCTTTTTTGGTGATATATAGAACCATTTTCAAAAGGGTTCTCTATAGATCCATATACAAATCATACTCCATCAATCTGAAGAATCATTTCGTCATATAAAGAACCATTTAAGCATGCAAATGGTTCTCTGAGTGTTCATAGTTCTATATAGAACCATTGTCTGTATATAGAACCCTTGGAGAACCATCTTTTTTAAGAGTTATGGCCTAAAAACAAAACAGAAATAAATAAAATATTACATTTTGTCACTAAAACCCTTAAAGAGAGAAATAAGAAATTAATCATTCATATACAGCGTAAAAACATGCTGGGGAACATTAGGGGTCAGGGTTACTTTCTGGCTGACCAAATCAAATGTCCTCACACTTTAGCCTCGATTCAGACAGAAGTATATGGGCCCGTCTTCAGACCACTCTGAGTCCTTCACTGAGGCAAAGACAGAGGCAGCCCTGAGTTGCAGGTGAACGAGTCTTCACTCCTCACCTGTTTCAGCTCATCAGCTCATTACAGAACCCTTTACCTGGATCAGACGGGCCTGATTCAGCCAGAAAACACCACCTGAGTACATTCATACTGAACTGCGTGTTGATCTGCAGCTGAATTCACTCAGAGGAACTGAGGCAGGGGTTCACACCTCCGGTCCTGGAGAGCTGGTGTCCAGCACAGTGAGCTAGTACTCAAACACACCCACTGACCCTGACCTTTAACAGAGGAGCTGAATCAGGTGTGTTTGAGCAGGTAAATAACTGTGCTGGACACTGACCCCCCAGGACCGGACATGTGCACCCCTGAACTAAGCCACTTTGAAACTGAGAGCCCCCCGGACCTAACCAGCTCAGCCTTTTATACAGCACCATCTAGTGGCCAATGCTGAGCAACAACAGTTAGAATGGTTTTCATTCAGCTTTAAAATCGACTCCAGAGTCTCCATTCAGCTTTAAAATCGACTCCAGAGTCTACATTCAGCTTTAAAATCGACTCCAGAGTCTTCATTCAGCTTTAATATCAACTCCAGAGTCTCCATTCAGCTTTAAAAGCGACTCCAGAGTCTCCATTCAGCTTTAAAAGCGACTCCAGAGTCTTCATTTAGCTTTAATATCGACTCCAGAGTCTCCATCTGGGTTTAAAATCAACTCCAGAGTCTTCATTCAGCTTTAAAAGCGACTCCAGGGTCTTCATTCAGCTTTAAAAGCGACTCCAGAGTCTTCATTAAGCTTTAACATCAACTCCAGACTCTCCATCTGGGTTTAAAATCAACTCCAGAGTCTCCATTCAGCTTTAAAATCAACTCCAGTCTTCATTCAGCTTTAAAATCGACTCCAGAGTCTCCATTCAGCTTTAAAATCAACTCCAGTCTTCATTCAGCTTTAAAATCGACTCCAGTCTTCATTCAGCTTTAAAAGCAACTCCAGGGTCTCCATTCAGCTTTAAAATCGACTCCAGTCTTCATTCAGCTTTAAAAGCAACTCCAGAGTCTCCATTCAGCTTTAAAATCGACTCCAGAGTCTTCATTCAGCTTTAAAATCGACTCCAGTCTCCATTCAGCTTTAAAAGCGACTCCAGTCTTCATTCAGCTTTAAAAGTGACTCCAGAGTCTTCATTCAGCTTTAAAAGCGACTCCAGAGTCTACATTCAGCTTTAAAATCGACTCCAGAGTCTCCATCTGGGTTTAAAATCAACTCCAGAGTCTTCATTCAGCTTTAAAATCGACTCCAGAGTCTACATTCAGCTTTAAAATCGACTCCAGAGTCTTCATTCAGCTTTAAAATCGACTCCAGAGTCTCCATCTGGGTTTAAAATCAACTCCAGAGTCTTCATTCAGCTTTAAAATCGACTCCAGGGTCTACATTCAGCTTTAAAATCGACTCCAGAGTCTTCATTCAGCTTTAAAATCGACTCCAGAGTCTCCATCTGGGTTTAAAATCAACTCCAGAGTCTTCATTCAGCTTTAAAATCGACTCCAGAGTCTACATTCAGCTTTAAAATCGACTCCAGAGTCTCCATTCAGCTTTAAAATCGACTCCAGAGTCTCCATTCAGCTTTAAAAGCGACTCCAGAGTCTACATTCAGCTTTAAAATCGACTCCAGAGTCTCCATTCAGCTTTAAAAGCGACTCCAGAGTCTACATTCAGCTTTAAAATCGACTCCAGAGTCTCCATCTGGGTTTAAAATCAACTCCAGAGTCTTCATTCAGCTTTAAAATCGACTCCAGAGTCTACATTCAGCTTTAAAATCGACTCCAGAGTCTCCATTCAGCTTTAAAAGCGACTCCAGAGTCTCCATTCAGCTTTAAAAGCGACTCCAGAGTCTCCATCTGGGTTTAAAATCAACTCCAGAGTCTCCATCTGGGTTTAAAATCAACTCCAGAGTCTTCATTCAGCTTTAAAATCGACTCCAGTCTACATTCAGCTTTAAAATCGACTCCAGAGTCTACATTCAGCTTTAAAATCGACTCCAGAGTCTTCATTCAGCTTTAAAATCGACTCCAGAGTCTACATTCAGCTTTAAAATCAACTCCAGTCTTCATTCAGCTTTAAAACTACCTGCACTCACTCTGGAGTTTGAAAGAGTGTGCTGAGACTCAGTGTCACACCGCCCTCTAGTGGCAGAGAGAAACACTGCAAGACACTGTCCCATCTAAAGCAATGTTCTTACGTTTTGTGTGGTGTTTTAATGGAGGCTCATTACAGACTGAGATAAGCTGCTGCAATGGACTCAGTTCATATCAGAGGTATTAGAGACGCCTTAGACAGCACTGATCTACTGATTCACACTCATTAATACAGTAATACATTCATCTCATACTGCAGCTGTAAATCAGGGCTGTGAGCTGCAAACGCTTCTCTGTGAAACTCCAGCTGCTGAATCAGCGGTTATGGGTTTAATGGTCAGTCTTTCTTTAGTAGTGAGTAAAACAGAGTGTAATGAGCCTGTCAAAAGTTTTGGGACACCTAGATTCTCAAACTGTTTAATACAAATTAACACTTTTTCTTTGTGGGTTTGCAATAACTTACCATATTAAAGCCTCATCTGATTTATTTAGAAGAGAACAATATCATACATGTAAATATTAGTGACAATTTACTTTAATTCAACCCTTATTTACACTAGAATTAATATACTGAAGAATTAAAACAAAACAATAATTATGAAACAATGATGCAGCTTATCAACATAGCATTGGTCAGGAGCTGGACTGAAGGCCTCACACGTTAAATTAACCACCAATATAAATAGGGAAAGACAGAATCAACCAACCACACTTTAATTTACAATTAAACCAGCTTAGAGAACCACACTAGACCTTCTG